CCAGGTGCTTTTCCTGGTCTCCCATGGGGTGCAGGGCCCAAGCACCTGGGCCATCCTCCACTGCACTCCCTGGCCATAGCAGAGAGCTGGCCTGGAAGAGGGGCAACCAGGACAGAATCCGGTGCCCCGACCAGGACTAGAACCCGGTGTGCCGGCGCCGCAAGGTGGAGGATTAGCCTATTGAGCCACGGCGCTGGCTCTGTTTTTTTTTTTCAATACCTGCTACGCCACAGCGCCGGCCCCTATATTTCCATGAATTCTCATTTTAACTTCATTTGGAAATGACTTCTAGCTTATAAAAAGTCTGCAAGAGTAATCCAAGAATTCACCACCAGGAGCAGGTATGCAGTGCAGTGCCTGAGCTGCCACCTGGGACAACCCACGTGCTGTAACAGAGCACCTGGTTCAGGACCCCGCTACTCTGCTTCCCATCCAGCTTCCTGCTAATGCACCCTGGGAGGCAGGATGGCTGCAGCGCCTGGGTAACCACCACCACCCATGTGAGAGACCCTGACGGAGTTCTTGGCTCCTGGCCTCAGCCTGGCCCAGCCCTGGCTGTTGCAGGCATTCAGAAAGTGAACCTGTGGACAGAAGATCTCTATCTCTGTCTTTCAAATAAAATGAAAAAACTTAAAAAAAAAAAATCCACTAACAGAATCACCAATTGTTAACATGTTGCCACATTTGCTTTATCTTTCTCTCTTTTTATCATTAAGTGTAAGGTTTTCTTCAGAGGCATTTAAAGGTGAGTCGCAGCCCTGATGCCCTGAAACCCTTCCACACATACCTCCTCCAGGCAAGGACGTTCTCTTACAGAACCAGCAGAATGACACGCGGGTATAATGCTGTAATCTAACCTCATGCATTGCTCCAGTATGTCCTTCCCAGCGATTTGTTTTTCTCATCCAGCTTCCAGAGCTGTCACAGCTCTTTACTCCCTTTTAATCCAGAGCAGCTCCTCTGCCTTCCTTTGTGTTTGGTGACACTGACACTTGTGATGGAAACAGGCCAGGTAGTGATGCGACAGACAGCCCGCAGGCTGGGTTTCCCTGATGTTTACTCACCAGGCTGTACGGCACTGGCTGGGATGCCTGCCACAGGAAGTTGTGTCCATGCTCTGTTGTGTTTGTCCACTGAGCTGCCTGCCTTATGCAGACCCTAGCGAGAGGCTGGGAGATACATGATGCTTCAGTGACAGACAGGAGCTGGGCTGCCCAGCAAGGGTTTCCTGTGGCTCTTCCCAAACCGTCGCCTCCCCACTACCACCTACAGTCTACACTATACCTCGGCCCTGGCCTCCGACCCCTTATGAGGCCCCCATGAGAGGAAGCGCCCTCACCCCAGCCCCAGCGTACCCTGCTCTCACCTGCCTGATAGCATGTTTGTAATGCTCCTGGATGCCCTTGGTTGGCAGCTGTTGGCAACAGCGCAGCAAGTATCGGTAGAGCTGCAGCGGCCTCTGGACCAGCTCTGCCCCTGGGAGTGGGGCCATCTGGGAAGACCCTTGTCCCTGGAAAAAACAGAGCACTGTTTGTCAGGCATCAGACCAAGTTCCGGCGCCCCAGGTCCCAGCCCTCTGAGAAGCAGGTCTGATGCAGTCCAGTGGCCGTCAGGAGCCTCCTCCGTGGAACCTGCCCCAGAGCCTGGGGCTAGGTGTTCAGCCCTGATGAGGCCCAGCCCAGAGCAGACCTGCTAGGACCAAGGGCAAGCATGGAGGGAGATACCTCAGCTCTGGAGTCTTTTTTCTGGAGCTCTACTCCAGGGACTGGGTGGCAGGTGGCACTGGCAGGCAGAACTGGCATAAGGGCACTGGTGGCAATCATGGAGAGACCAACAGGCAATGGAATGCCCATAGGTATGAGCAGGGCTACCCTCAGCTATAGCATTACCTTATTAAAAACACAGTCTTAGGCCCACCCAGACCTCCTACAGCAAAGGTGGGGAGCCTTTTATCTGCAGGTCCATGATATTTACAGCATCATTCATAGGCCATACAAAATTATCAACTGAAGAATTAGTCTTTCGGTGCCAGTGCTGCGGCATAGCAAGTTAAACCTCCACCTGAGGCGCCAGCATCCCATATGGACCTGGCTGCTCCTCTTCTGATCCAGCTTTCTGCTAGGAGCCCGGAAAGGCAGTGGAAGATGGCTCAGGCCCTTGAGCCCCCACATCCGTGCCGAAGACCAGGAAAAAGTTCCTGGCTCCTAGCTTCAGATCAGCCCGGCTCCGGCCATTATGGCCATTTGGAGAGTGAACCAGCAGATGGAAGACCTTTCTGTCTCCCTATCTCTGTAACTCTGCCCCTCAAATAAATTTTTAAAAATCTTTTAAAAAGGGGGGGGTAGTTAGCCTGCTGTGGATTTATTGAATTTCCAGTCCCTCCTGTGGTTGCCTTGGCAGGGCCAGACCACATGATCTCAGGGGCCTTCTGCAGCCCACAGGCTGGACGTTCCCACCCCTGTCCTACAGCATGCTAATGAGCTGCCCAGCAGAACTGCAGGCACACCAGAGTTCGAGGAGTAGGTGCATGTGGGACCCCAGTGCATGGGTCTTCATATTTACTGTGTGTTAGTCACAAGAATAACAATGGGCACTTATTCTGTTCTTATCACTCTATGTGTGATTAATGTACACAGAGAAAACTAGGCACAGAGAGGTCTGATAACCTGCCCAGGATCACACAGCTGACAGAGGTAGAAACATCTGAACCCTTACAGTCTGACTCCAGGGCCCATTAAAAAAAAAAAAAATGGAGGGGCTGGCACTGTGGCGCAGTGGGTTAATGCCCTGGCCTGAAGCGCCGACATCCCATATGGGCGCAGGGTCTAGTCCCGGCTGCTCCTCTTCCAATCCAGCTCTCTGCTATGGCCTGGGAAAGCAGTAGAATGTCCCAAGTCCTTGGGCCCCTGCACCTGCATGGAAGACCCGGAAGAAGCTCCTGGCTCCGGATTGGCGCAGCTCCAGCCGTTGCGGCCATCTGGGGAGTGAACCATCGAATGGAAGACTTCTCTCTGCCTCTCCTCTCTCTGTGTAACTCCGACTTTAAAATAAATAAATAAATCTTTAAAAATAAACAATTAACACTCTTTAAAAATTTCTTTTAAAAATGGAGCGGTATTGTGGCACGGCAGGCTGGAGCATGGTGACATTCCACATCACAGTGCAGGTTTGAGTCCTTGCTGCTCTGTTTCCAACCCAATTTTCTGCTGATGTGCCTGGAAAGGCAGCGGAGGACAGCTCAAGTACCTGATTGGGCTCCTGCCACCCATGTGGGAAACCAGGATGAAGTTTCTGGCTCCTGGCTTTGGCCCAGCCCAGAATTTGGGCAGTGAACCAGATGACCAGATAGAGGATCTCTGTGTGTCTTTCTCTATCTCCTTCCTCTGTCAGTCTTTCAGATAAGTAAATAACTCTTTTTTAAAAAGTATATTGAGGTATGTAGGGGTCTATAAACAATTTATGGAAAATTCATCTTATGAAAAAACTATACAAGGATTTCAAATTTTTTGCCCCAGGGGCAGGCATTTGATTCAGTGGTTGTCACCACTGGAGACCCCCACATTCCGTATCAGACGGAGTTCAGGTTCAAGTTCTAGCTACTCCACTTCTGACCCAGCTTCTTGCTAATGTGCATTCTGGGAGGCAGTAGGTGATGACTCAAGTACTTAGATCCCTGCCAGCCACATGTGAGATGAGACAGAGTCCCAGGTTCCTGGCTGCTACAGGAAGTGAACTTGGGGAGTGAACCAGTGGATAGAAGATCTCTCTTTCAAATAAAATGAAAATAAATTTTTAAAAATTAAAAATTTTTATGCCAAAATAAACATATTTTAATTCCAATTTTTTTATTTTTTTTACAGGCAGAGTTAGACAGTGAGAGAGACAGAGAGAAAGGTCTTCCTTCCGTTGGTTCACTCCTCAAATGTTTGCTACGGCCGGCGCACTGCGCTGGTCTGAAGCCAGGAGCCAGGTGCTTCCTCCTGGTCTCCCATACGGGTGCAGGGCCCAAGCACTTGGGCCATCCTCTACTGCCCTCCCGGGCCACAGCAGAGAGCTGGACTGAAGAGGAGCAACCGGGACAGAATCCGGCGCCCCGACCGGGACTAGAACCTGGTGTGCCGACGCTGCAAGGTGGAGGATTAGCCTAGTGAGCCGTGGTGCCAGCCTAGACGTCTTTAATAGACAACGAAGCTGAGGGGCTGGGGAGGGAGGATAATAAACTGGGTATATCAGAACTGAAAAGTGTGGTCATGTACCCTTCTCTCTAAGCCTTATTTTTTGGGAAAAAAAAAATCTCAGGTAGAAAAGGACCCTCAGAAGCCAGCTGAGTTCAGTCAGTGAGTTTTAAAAATGGATCCTAGGCCATATCCCTAGAGACTCTTGACTTAGAAGCACAGGGAAGGGGCACCCTCCAGCTCCCTGGGTCACTCTAGCACTGAATCCATGGACCAAGAAGTCAGCTGCATTCCTGACTCACTCCCTTCCTCCATCAAAACATATCCTGGTTTTTTTAAAGATATATTTATTCATTTGAAAGGCAGAGTTACAGAGAGGCAGAGGCAGAGAGGGAGGGTCTTCCATCCATTGGTTCACCCCCCAAATGGCTGCAACTGTTAGAGTTGGGGCAATCCGAAGGCAGGAGCGAAGGGCTTCTTCCGGGTCTCCCACACAGGTGCTGGGGCCCAAACACACTTGGGCCATCTTTCGCTTTCCCAGATCATGGATCCAGAGAGCTGGATTGGAAGCGGAGCAGCCGAGACTCAAACAAGCTCCCACAAGGGATGCCAACACTGAAGTCGGTGGCTTTACCGCTACGCCACAGCACCGACCCCCAAAACAGATCTCTGAATGCTTCCCCAGTACTCTTGCTTTAGTGTGGCCACTCCAACAGACAGGGAGCTCACTCCCCCAAGACACAAAGCTATCGCTGAGCACTACTGCTCTCTTCCTTCTCCCTGCTGCCTCAGCTGAGCCCATTCAGCAGCTCTGGCAGAAGCCTGCCTTTAAACACGAATGCTAATGCACGCCCTGGGGGCCAGCAGGAATGACTCACCCACGTGGGAGACCTGGATGAAGACCCCAGCTCTGTTTTCACCTCTCTCAGCCCCAGAGGGAAGCATCTGGGGAGTGAGGCAGCAGGGAGGAGCGCTTCTGTTTCTGTCCAATAATTTTTTTAAGTGACTAAGGGTAACACACACACAAACGCCGCCAGAAGGGATCTACCATCACTTTTCAGTTGCTGGTTGAGGGGAGCAGCTGGCTGGAAAGCCTGGGCACGGGCCATTCTCAACTGCAGGGTAGGGGCGACTCCTAGTGGCCATGGAGATGACAGCCATCATCAGCCCGGTTGGCAGTGGAGACAGCAGCCATCGAGCGCTTACTTTGTTCATGATCCAGTCGGCATCTTCAATAGCTCTTTTAATAATCTGCTGGATTCTCTCAGGGCTGTCTTCATCTGAATGAACCCGGAAACTCTGGCAGTAAAAGCATAAAGAAAGATGAGCAGGCCAGATTCACAGGGCCAGCAGCTGCCGAGCATGAGCCACGGGGCCAGGTACACTGCCTGGCCTTTCAACTCGGCATCCTGCTAATCCTCCATGCACAGCTAGGGCTCTCACACTTAGAGATGAGAGGCAGAGGCTCAGGAATCCCAGCGGGCTGCTAAGCAACCGCTTCTGAGCTGCGCCGTCTCTGACTGCAAAGCTCACACCCCTGCCAGCAGGGCAGTTGTGAGAAGGAGGCCTGGCCCCTGAGTTCCCCCAGTCACGCTGGGCCCAAGAGGAAATTTCCACCACTGGGTCTAATTTGCTCCTCACAGGAAGCTGCACGGGCTCTGCAATGGTGAGGAGCAGGGCTTCTCTCGGCCCAGCTGAAACAGCCTTGCAGAGGAGGGGAGGGAACAGGAGGGGAGGTGACTCTGGGAAACTCAGCCAGGCCCAATCCAGAGCATGAACTGCAGGCAGCTTTTTCTGTTTTAACTTTATTTATTTGAGAGACAGGCAAACAGATCTTCCATCTGCTGGTCCACTCTCCAAAAGCCTGCATTGGCCCAGATGAGACCTGGCTGAAGCCACAAGGCACCAACTCCGTCCAGGTCTCCCACATGGGTGACAGGAAACCAACTTCTTAAGCCATCACTGTCGTCTCCAAGGATCTGCATTAGCTGGACGCTGGAATTGGGGTGGAGCTGGGACTCAAAACCAGGGATGTGGGAGTCCTAACCACTAAGCCAAACGCCTGTCCCTGCTGTTGGCTTCTGACCAGATGTTCACCTGAGAAGCAATCGGAGATTCAGGTGCATTTATGCTGTGCTCAGGGACCTCCAAAAAGATAAGAACCTCCCTCCGTGTCACTGACAACCCCATACCCCTCCTGCTCCTCTGTAGGAGCCACCTCAGCACCCACCTGTGGGAAGCCCTCTCCAACTCCCCGACAGAGCTAACTGCTCCATTCTCCCGGCTCCCACACTCCTCTGTTGCTACCTGGTTGTTTTTCGCTAGTTCTCTTTTTTTGACTTTTTGTTCTTATCCACAGAAAAGCCAGAATGGGCAGTGAGAGAGAGACACGAGAGAGAAGGTCTTCTTTGCCGTTGGTTCACCCTCCAATGGCCGCCGCTGCAGCCAGCGCACCGCGCTGATCCGATGGCAGGAGCCAGGATCCAGGTGCTTTTCCTGGTCTCCCATGGGGTGCAGGGCCCAAGCACCTGGGCCATCCTCCACTGCACTCCCTGGCCATAGCAGAGAGCTGGCCTGGAAGAGGGGCAACCAGGACAGAATCCGGTGCCCCGACCAGGACTAGAACCCGGTGTGCCGGCGCCGCAAGGTGGAGGATTAGCCTATTGAGCCACGGCGCTGGCTCTGTTTTTTTTTTTCAATACCTGCTACGCCACAGCGCCGGCCCCTATATTTCCATGAATTCTCATTTTAACTTCATTTGGAAATGACTTCTAGCTTATAAAAAGTCTGCAAGAGTAATCCAAGAATTCACCACCAGGAGCAGGTATGCAGTGCAGTGCCTGAGCTGCCACCTGGGACAACCCACGTGCTGTAACAGAGCACCTGGTTCAGGACCCCGCTACTCTGCTTCCCATCCAGCTTCCTGCTAATGCACCCTGGGAGGCAGGATGGCTGCAGCGCCTGGGTAACCACCACCACCCATGTGAGAGACCCTGACGGAGTTCTTGGCTCCTGGCCTCAGCCTGGCCCAGCCCTGGCTGTTGCAGGCATTCAGAAAGTGAACCTGTGGACAGAAGATCTCTATCTCTGTCTTTCAAATAAAATGAAAAAACTTAAAAAAAAAAAATCCACTAACAGAATCACCAATTGTTAACATGTTGCCACATTTGCTTTATCTTTCTCTCTTTTTATCATTAAGTGTAAGGTTTTCTTCAGAGGCATTTAAAGGTGAGTCGCAGCCCTGATGCCCTGAAACCCTTCCACACATACCTCCTCCAGGCAAGGACGTTCTCTTACAGAACCAGCAGAATGACACGCGGGTATAATGCTGTAATCTAACCTCATGCATTGCTCCAGTATGTCCTTCCCAGCGATTTGTTTTTCTCATCCAGCTTCCAGAGCTGTCACAGCTCTTTACTCCCTTTTAATCCAGAGCAGCTCCTCTGCCTTCCTTTGTGTTTGGTGACACTGACACTTGTGATGGAAACAGGCCAGGTAGTGATGCGACAGACAGCCCGCAGGCTGGGTTTCCCTGATGTTTACTCACCAGGCTGTACGGCACTGGCTGGGATGCCTGCCACAGGAAGTTGTGTCCATGCTCTGTTGTGTTTGTCCACTGAGCTGCCTGCCTTATGCAGACCCTAGCGAGAGGCTGGGAGATACATGATGCTTCAGTGACAGACAGGAGCTGGGCTGCCCAGCAAGGGTTTCCTGTGGCTCTTCCCAAACCGTCGCCTCCCCACTACCACCTACAGTCTACACTATACCTCGGCCCTGGCCTCCGACCCCTTATGAGGCCCCCATGAGAGGAAGCGCCCTCACCCCAGCCCCAGCGTACCCTGCTCTCACCTGCCTGATAGCATGTTTGTAATGCTCCTGGATGCCCTTGGTTGGCAGCTGTTGGCAACAGCGCAGCAAGTATCGGTAGAGCTGCAGCGGCCTCTGGACCAGCTCTGCCCCTGGGAGTGGGGCCATCTGGGAAGACCCTTGTCCCTGGAAAAAACAGAGCACTGTTTGTCAGGCATCAGACCAAGTTCCGGCGCCCCAGGTCCCAGCCCTCTGAGAAGCAGGTCTGATGCAGTCCAGTGGCCGTCAGGAGCCTCCTCCGTGGAACCTGCCCCAGAGCCTGGGGCTAGGTGTTCAGCCCTGATGAGGCCCAGCCCAGAGCAGACCTGCTAGGACCAAGGGCAAGCATGGAGGGAGATACCTCAGCTCTGGAGTCTTTTTTCTGGAGCTCTACTCCAGGGACTGGGTGGCAGGTGGCACTGGCAGGCAGAACTGGCATAAGGGCACTGGTGGCAATCATGGAGAGACCAACAGGCAATGGAATGCCCATAGGTATGAGCAGGGCTACCCTCAGCTATAGCATTACCTTATTAAAAACACAGTCTTAGGCCCACCCAGACCTCCTACAGCAAAGGTGGGGAGCCTTTTATCTGCAGGTCCATGATATTTACAGCATCATTCATAGGCCATACAAAATTATCAACTGAAGAATTAGTCTTTCGGTGCCAGTGCTGCGGCATAGCAAGTTAAACCTCCACCTGAGGCGCCAGCATCCCATATGGACCTGGCTGCTCCTCTTCTGATCCAGCTTTCTGCTAGGAGCCCGGAAAGGCAGTGGAAGATGGCTCAGGCCCTTGAGCCCCCACATCCGTGCCGAAGACCAGGAAAAAGTTCCTGGCTCCTAGCTTCAGATCAGCCCGGCTCCGGCCATTATGGCCATTTGGAGAGTGAACCAGCAGATGGAAGACCTTTCTGTCTCCCTATCTCTGTAACTCTGCCCCTCAAATAAATTTTTAAAAATCTTTTAAAAAGGGGGGGGTAGTTAGCCTGCTGTGGATTTATTGAATTTCCAGTCCCTCCTGTGGTTGCCTTGGCAGGGCCAGACCACATGATCTCAGGGGCCTTCTGCAGCCCACAGGCTGGACGTTCCCACCCCTGTCCTACAGCATGCTAATGAGCTGCCCAGCAGAACTGCAGGCACACCAGAGTTCGAGGAGTAGGTGCATGTGGGACCCCAGTGCATGGGTCTTCATATTTACTGTGTGTTAGTCACAAGAATAACAATGGGCACTTATTCTGTTCTTATCACTCTATGTGTGATTAATGTACACAGAGAAAACTAGGCACAGAGAGGTCTGATAACCTGCCCAGGATCACACAGCTGACAGAGGTAGAAACATCTGAACCCTTACAGTCTGACTCCAGGGCCCATTAAAAAAAAAAAAAATGGAGGGGCTGGCACTGTGGCGCAGTGGGTTAATGCCCTGGCCTGAAGCGCCGACATCCCATATGGGCGCAGGGTCTAGTCCCGGCTGCTCCTCTTCCAATCCAGCTCTCTGCTATGGCCTGGGAAAGCAGTAGAATGTCCCAAGTCCTTGGGCCCCTGCACCTGCATGGAAGACCCGGAAGAAGCTCCTGGCTCCGGATTGGCGCAGCTCCAGCCGTTGCGGCCATCTGGGGAGTGAACCATCGAATGGAAGACTTCTCTCTGCCTCTCCTCTCTCTGTGTAACTCCGACTTTAAAATAAATAAATAAATCTTTAAAAATAAACAATTAACACTCTTTAAAAATTTCTTTTAAAAATGGAGCGGTATTGTGGCACGGCAGGCTGGAGCATGGTGACATTCCACATCACAGTGCAGGTTTGAGTCCTTGCTGCTCTGTTTCCAACCCAATTTTCTGCTGATGTGCCTGGAAAGGCAGCGGAGGACAGCTCAAGTACCTGATTGGGCTCCTGCCACCCATGTGGGAAACCAGGATGAAGTTTCTGGCTCCTGGCTTTGGCCCAGCCCAGAATTTGGGCAGTGAACCAGATGACCAGATAGAGGATCTCTGTGTGTCTTTCTCTATCTCCTTCCTCTGTCAGTCTTTCAGATAAGTAAATAACTCTTTTTTAAAAAGTATATTGAGGTATGTAGGGGTCTATAAACAATTTATGGAAAATTCATCTTATGAAAAAACTATACAAGGATTTCAAATTTTTTGCCCCAGGGGCAGGCATTTGATTCAGTGGTTGTCACCACTGGAGACCCCCACATTCCGTATCAGACGGAGTTCAGGTTCAAGTTCTAGCTACTCCACTTCTGACCCAGCTTCTTGCTAATGTGCATTCTGGGAGGCAGTAGGTGATGACTCAAGTACTTAGATCCCTGCCAGCCACATGTGAGATGAGACAGAGTCCCAGGTTCCTGGCTGCTACAGGAAGTGAACTTGGGGAGTGAACCAGTGGATAGAAGATCTCTCTTTCAAATAAAATGAAAATAAATTTTTAAAAATTAAAAATTTTTATGCCAAAATAAACATATTTTAATTCCAATTTTTTTATTTTTTTTACAGGCAGAGTTAGACAGTGAGAGAGACAGAGAGAAAGGTCTTCCTTCCGTTGGTTCACTCCTCAAATGTTTGCTACGGCCGGCGCACTGCGCTGGTCTGAAGCCAGGAGCCAGGTGCTTCCTCCTGGTCTCCCATACGGGTGCAGGGCCCAAGCACTTGGGCCATCCTCTACTGCCCTCCCGGGCCACAGCAGAGAGCTGGACTGAAGAGGAGCAACTGGGACAGAATCTGGTGCCCCAACTGGGACTAGAACCCAGGGTGCCAGCGCCACAGGCGGAGGATTAGTCTAGTGAGCCACGGCGCCGGCCTTAATTCCAATTTTTAAAAAAGATTTATTAATTGAAAGTCAGACTTAGAGGGGGAGACAAAGAAAGAGAGAGATCTCCCATCTGCCACTTCAGTCCACAGATGCCTGCGACAACCAGGGCTGGGCCATGCTTAAGCCAGAAACCCAGAACTCCATCAGGTTTCCCACCTTGGGTGACAGGGGCCCAGGCACCTGAGTCATCATCTACTACCTCCCCGATGTACGAGCAGGAAGCTGAATCTGAACTGGAGCGCTGGAACGCTAACCAGAACTCTGATGCGGAATTCTAGCATCGCAAGTGGCAGCTTAACCCGCTATGCCACAATCTGATGGTGTTGGGATACGTGCACATCTGAGAAACTGTCGCCCTCATCAAGAGTAAACCCCTGTGGCCCTCAAAAGTTACCTCGCGCTTCTTTGTGGTCCTTCCCTCGGCCCTCCCCACTTCCCCACCCCCAAGCAACCACTCATCTGCCTTCTGTCATTTCTAGGGTTCTGCATAAGCAGAATTGTAGAGTAGGCTCTCTGTCTGCAGAGTCCATATTTCTACCCTCTGGATCACAGCAGCTCTCTCCTCAGAACCCACAGCTCTTTTTTGAAGGGAACTATGAGAGTACAGGATGTAAGGACTTGTTAAGCCTTGGCCTGCCCCTCTCTGTGCTACTTGCCCGTAGGCCCCTGCCTGAACCTCTGCCCTCGCATCCTGTGTGGGGCCCCTGCCTCCAGCCTGTCACTCCAGTCTCCTCCACACTCAGGGACCAGTACCCTGGCACATCCCAGATCCCCCAAACCACCAGTGCATCACCCCAGTACTCTTGCACTTGCAGTTGCTGGAGTATGGAGCTCCCTTTCCATCCCATCCTCATGAGGAACCCCGTTCATTCTTCTCCATCCAGCTCAGGGTCACTCCTCCAGGAAGCCTTCCTTACTGCCCCTCCCAAGGACAGAGGGACCCACTCTGTCCTTTGTGGGGCTGCCATGCTCTGTTCCTGGTGCCAAACAGTGCTTCCCACACCGGCAGGGGTCCCTCTGTTCCCAAGCCTGAGGGTCTCCCCAGGCATGGCAGGCTTCATAGTTTACCAGAGAAGCTGTTCTCTCCTCTGGTACAGACTTCCTGCGTTCCAGATGAAAGAGCTAAAAGACAGATGAGGCGACTGGCTCTAGTTTTTTAAGTCACATAAAAAGAGAAAGACAATCCCCTGCCTTCACACCAAGGGAACAGAATGCTCCACCTCTCGGACGCCTTTAAACCACACAAGGAAACTCATCAGGCCACTGTTTCAGAAGCTCTGGCCTCCTGGTCCCACACCACCACCCAACCGCCTCCACAGGTCCCTTTGCCCTTGCTCCTGGTTCTCTGGGCTCTGGCTCCACGCCCTCAATCATTCTCCCTCTGGTAACAGTCTCTGGGCCACTCCAGCTGGCCCCTCCCCCAGTCTCAGCTCTCACCAATCACAGCCCTGCACCCACACTGGCCCACAGATGGGCACATGATGCAGCAGGCTGGTCCAATCAGAGCAAATCTCAGCACCTCTACAGGAGCAAGGAAAAGGATCCCAGCTCTTTCCCCTAGACTCTGTGCCAAGAGGACCTGCTCCTCTTGTGCCATGAAGCCATGCTGCCTCTTCTCGAAGCCAGAGGCTGCAGCCACAAAGCAGAAGGCAGGGCTGCGTGCCTGAAGAATGCACTGACACTTAAAACCAGCCCCAGCCCTGACCTCTCAATGCTCTGGGCCAACTCATCCTCTCTTGCCAGTGGCTTGGGTTTGCTGTTTTGTCACCTGTAACCCAGACCTGGTGGACAGATCTGAACTCCCCAATTCTACTTTCATGATGAGCTCCAATGGTTCCAGCTCTAAGGGTGAGTCTAACGGGATGGAGCCCCTCAAGGTCCTCCTGCTAGGAACTGTCAACCTTCCGGGCCGACGAGACATCTGTTTGCCCAGGCAACGAGGAGATCCCATCCCCGGCGGCCAAGATCTTCAAGGGCGACCACCGAGGACATACCACCGAAGTCCCCCACCTGATGGGCAGACTCCACTGGCAGGCTTCCCCAAACTATAAAAAGTGCTAATCAAATATTGTAAAATGCTAGTCGTGTAACAGATGGTTACCATCTGCAGTCCTCAAAATTAACATTTGGAAAGAGCATAACTCCTTTTCGTTATTTAAAAATCCAAGCAATACTTAGTAACCAACCCAGCAAGTATGGGCGGCAGATTATTTTCAGCTCAATTATAAGACTTAGTCATTCTCAGTAATAACTAGTGAAGAATACATGTGTGGGTCCACTTAAAAGAGCTCAACTAAAAATGTTTTAATTTAATTTAAAGTGTGGGTTTGCTATTATTTAAGGGGCAACGAATCTCACAGCATCATTGCAAAAACTGTGGCGAGCCCCCTGGTCCTGGCAGTGCTCGCTTCACTTACCCTGCCCTGCCCGCCGGCCTTCACCGGGGCTCCCACTCCTGCCTCGCCCGCGCTCCCCGCCTCTGTAACGGCACCTCCATCCTCCCGGGCAATCCAACTAAAATCATCAGGCAACCTGGGCCCGTCCCTTTCCCTCAATCCCAGGCCACTGGTTTCTAAGTCCTTTGAAATCCCACTTTGGAAGGCCACTCCTCTCAACCCCACGCACACTGCTGGCTCCGATGCCTGTCGCTTCTCACTGGGACAGTCGCAGCAGCCTACCTGCACTTCCTGTCTTCCGAGCTGCTCCACTCCAATCTACTCTCCACCCAGCAGCCTGGGTGGATCTTTGTGAAATCTAATTCTCAGGGTACCCTGCCCCCTCCTAAAAGCCCTAAGACCCACCCCTATCTTCACCATTCCGAGCAACTTTTCCCAAAATGTGGGACAAATGCCTGAAATTATTGTCGGCAATATACAGACAACATATTTTTACTGTGATGGTTTTATATTTATTTTCATGTTTCGCCCATGTGAGGAGGCTTCTACTGAGATACGAACTCCTGGTCAGCCTGGCCCAGTCCTGGCTGTTGCAGGAATCTGGGGAGTGAACTAATGGATGGAAGCACTCGCTTGCTTGCTTGATCTCTCTCTCTCTCTCTCTCTCTCTCTCTCTCTCTCTCTCCCCCCCCCCATCTCTCCTGTCTCTATCACTCTTTCAAATAAGCAAAAATAGTAAAAGTTAAGAGATTTATGAAGAATTAGAATTAAAAGATAAATGGGTGGGGCTAGCATTGTGGTACAATGGGTTAAAACCACGGTCTGCAGCGCCAGAATCCAATACTGGCATGGGTTCGAGTCCCAGCTGCTCCACTTACAACCCATCTCCCTGCTAATGCATCTGGGAAAGCAGCGGAAGATGGCCCAAGTCCTTAGGCCCCTGTACCCACGTGAGAGACCCATAAGAAGTTCCTGGCTCCTGGCTTCAGCCTGGCCCAGCCAGGTAATTGCAGCCATTGGGAAGTAGACCAGTGGGTGTAAGACCTCTCTGTGTGTCTCTCCTTCTCTAACTATTTCAAATAAATAAATAAATCTAAAAAGGGGGGGGGGGGGCAAGTACTGTAGCATAGTAGGTTAAGCTACACTTGGATATATCCATATCAGAGTGCTTGGTTCAAGGCCCAGCTACTCCGCACTTTCTTTCTTTCTTATTTTTTTAAAGATTTATTTATTTATTTGAAAGTCAGAGTTATACAGAGAAAGAAGGAGAGGCAGAGAGAAAGAAAGAGATCTTCCATATGCTGGCTCAACTCCCCAACTGGCAGCAATGACTGGAGCTGTGCCAATCCAAAGCCAGGAGCCAGGAGCCAGGAGCCTCCTCCGGGTCTCCCACGCGGGTGCAGGGGCCCAACTACCTGGGCCATCCTCCACTGCTCTCCCAGGCCATAGCAGAGAGCTGGACTGGAAGTGGAGCAGCTGGGACTTGAACTGCCGCCCACACGGGATGCCGGCACTGCAGGTGGTGGCCCTACCCACTATGCCACAGCACCGGCTCCTGCACTTTCTTGTTTTAAAGATTTATTTACTTATTTGAAAGGCAGAATTATAGAGAGGCAGAGGCAGAGAGAGATCTTCCCATCTGATGGTTCACTTCCCAAATGGCTGCAATGGCCAAAGCTGGGCTGATCTGAACCCAGGAGCTTCTCCGGGTCTCCCACGTGTGTGCAGGGGCCCAAACACTTGGGCCATGTTCTGCTGCTTTCCCAGGTGCATTAGCAGGGAGCTGGATCAGAAGTGGAACAGCCAGGACTTGAACCAGCATCCATATGGGATGTCGACACTGCAGGGGGTGGCTTAACCCACTATGCCACAGTGCCAGCCCCTACTCTGCACTTTCAATACAGCTTCTTCCTAATATGCCTGGGAGGCAGCAGGTGATGGTCCCCATTCTTGGGTTCCTGACATCCATGTGGAAACCTGCATAGAGTTCCAGGCTTCTGGCTTCAGCTTGACTATTGCAGGCATTTGGAGAATGAACCAGCAGATGGAAGATATGGGAAAATGCCCTGATTCTTAGGAGACGCAAGCAGAGGTGTTCCAAGGTGATGTGACAACAGGGCTGCAACTCACTTTCAAATAGTTTAGCCAAAGACAACACAGAGAAGGAAGTGAGGAAGATTTAAAAAAAAAATGAGGCAAAATGTTAAGATCGTGCTCGGATGACAGGTGGGAGGAGTGGACGTGATGCTGTAATCTCAACTTCTGTATCTTTGGAAATGTTTTATGAAAGGTCACCTTACAAACCCCCCTGGCAGGGAGGGAGCCATCCTGCCTTCCTCCCTCAACAGGGAATGTGGGGGCACCTCTTTTCCTTCCACTGAAGTGTCAGAGGTCCCTCTGGTCCTGAGCTACATCTGTCACTACTGTAAAATCAGACTCCCTGGTCTGAGCTCTGCCCTTGGGCCTAAGTCTTCCTCACCCTACCTCCACGTCCAGTTTCTCATTATTCCAAGTTAACTTTCCTTCGCCCTCACAGCCTCTAGGAAGCACTCTCATCCCCTCAAAGTTTCTCCACACGACTCATCCTCCTTGGGAAGTGCCCCCAACACCAACAGCTTGGCTGCATCTCACCGATTCCAGAGATTCCACTGGCAGTGGCATTGCACTTCTTTTGACCAGGAATTCATGAAATGCATTCAGACTGCATTCCCTGCTTGGGCCCTCCTGCAGCCTGGCATTCCCCTCGCCTTGTGGGATGGGGGAGGGGGCACCCCACAACCGCCAACTACTCTCAAGTCTGTTTCTCCACTCTGTATTTTATTAGGTCAGTCCAGAGTCACAATGTGCCACCACCTTTGGGGCACCTGATTTTCACCCAACTCAAGTCAACCCAACAAAGGCACAGAAACAATCACCTCCCACGGACAAACAGGCTATGAAGAGAAAGATCAGCTCTGAACGCCTCAAGCATCCGTCGCA